CCGAATTTGGGAAGGGAAGACACGATTATTCGAGCCTCGCGGCTCGTTTTTATAGTTACAAATTATCAACGATTATCAAAAAGGAGCCGCATGGCTCGAATAATCGTATCTCCTCTCCCTAAATTGTCCATTTTTGTGCGCAATCCGAGCGTCGATTGGGGAGAATTCACTATACACAGGGGGTATAGTAAGACCAGCATCTCCGACAGAATGCACGTCCCATCCCGACACCGATCCCCGACCCAACCAATCATCCTCGCACACTGTCGGACCAGCGTTTAACTACTTCTCGCAGTCTCATCAGTTAGACTGCTTCTTCGAGCGTGGTCGTTGCATCGATCAGCCGAGAATTCGTGCACGAGACGACTGTATAGACTTAATGGGCAGAGAGAGACGGACAAAGAGAGAGTGAGTGAGAAAGGGATTGGTGAGAGAGAGAAAGAGAGAAAGAAAGAGAAGAGAGAGGAAGCGAGAGGGACACACAGAGATGGAAAGAGAAGAGAGAGAAAGCGAGAGATAGAGGGACACACACAGAAATAGAAAGAGAGAGAGAAAGCGAGAGAGACACAGACAGCGAGAGAGAGAAAGAGAGAGAGACTCGCATATAGAGAGGAGAAAGACGGAGAGAGAGTGAGACACAGGGAGAAGGGGGAGGGTAAGGCGCCGCGTCGCGACGGAAGGCCGGAAGACAAAACCCAGAAGGACAAAGGCGAAAGACAGACGGAGTAATCAAACGTGAATCCCTGGTCCCGGCGGCGCAGTCGTTTTCATCGGGGAATAAAAGTGGTGTTCCCGTGGGGAACGGGGGTGCCAGGGAGAGCCAGGGTTAGGGAGAGTCGCGGCGACGTCCCGGGTGTTTTTCATCGGGATCGCGCGTTCGCGCGGCGCTAGCACGCCCGCCGCTGTCGGAATAATTGACCCAAATGTACCGCAAAAATAGCGGATCATAAATTACACGGGCCGGGAACGGGGAGTGCACTTGACACGGCCCTGTCGCCGCGGCACGGTCAACGGAGCTCGAGAAGCAGACGACGCGGCAGAAAAAGAGGGCTCCCATTCAAGGTTACTCATTCTTCCGGCACGTCGTCGTTCGTTTCGAGTGGCGACAATCGGGAGAAAACTGGCGGAGCCTCTTCAAAGGGCTGAATGCGTGCTCGCCCGGCAATCGGAGACGAGAGGCTGCGAACGGTCCTCGGTTCGGCCAAATATTTGCACTCCGCCGATCGCTAATTCATTATTTTCTGCCGTGCATCGCGCACCCTGGCCAAGGAGAACCGGGACGCTTCGTTTCGCCGATCGCCGGCAGCGTGATCGTTACAATCCGGATAACAAATATCGCGGATCTGTACGCGTGTTTATGGCATGACGCAGGCTTTTGCAAAATTAACAAGGTCCAATCGCGTTTTTATCTTCTTTTTGCAACGACCGATCGTTCAGCTGGCGAACGTCGACGAGACAAGGGATGAAATTTGGAATTTGCGTAGAAATTCGCGGTCCGATTATTCCATTTCTAGTTATAAATAATAATTATATGTAACCAAAACGGAATTTGTTTCATTTAATTGTATGTATTTTATATGCTGAATTTTTATGCAAAATAAAAATCGGAACAAGGGTTAAACGAAGTACTTATGCTTTCAACAGTTTCGATGAATTGAATGTCGTCATTGTTCCGTATCTCATTTAGCCGTTTCTAATATTATTCAATAAACGATACTGAAACAACATTCTCGTGTACACATAACGCGGAAAGTATCAATGGGGCCTATACATGGGGTTATTTCGATTAATGTAGTGTGTGTGCATTATATGTACACGTGATCGAGTGTCCGGCAGATATGAGAGGGCTTTATCGCGTTTATAATCAGATTTGCGCTAATATAATTATTATGATGTAAAGTTACATTTAACCACGATACAATTACCACTTCGTTTACGAGTTATCAATATTTCCCTATGCAAAACATATTTTACTAGTTAATCGAATATTTTGCGAACGCAAATATTTCAATTAAATTCGTCGTTCGTATTAATTTCTTATCTAGCTCGCTCAAGCAGCATAATGCAAATCTAAAATATTTGAATAACAGATAACAATAGCTCGATACTTTCATGTAACGCTACATTACAATACGTTACGATAGAATATAAAATAACGAAATTTTGTGTTAACAAAAGCGATAGAATTTACTTTGGAAGCTATTAATTGTGACAGACGACGAATCTAATTACTACTTTCGGCTCGGTAACGTCAACAATACCGAAATGTCTCTGACAGAAGCGACATTAGCCAGGAGGAGCTATTAAAATAGTTCCGGATGTAATTAAAGCTATTACAACACTCGCGTAATTCGAAACTCGGACACTTTTCGGAAGGAACCTTGTAAATAATTGCAAACCGGAGCTCGCCGAGTTGCTTGTCATATTAAAGACAACATGGTGGCTCTATCTGTGTCAAGGCGACGTAAAGGAACTACCCGTATCTGAAAACTGAAATTAAATGAAAAATGCGCCCCTTTTCGCCATTTTAAAGAATTAAAAAATTAAAGAATTTAATTACAATTGAATCAAAATTACGAAACGAAGTTATATGTCTTACTTCTTCTTAGCATTCTTACCCCTTGCGAATCTTAATAGAATTGAGAAACTAGAATGGATTATATTAAATATTATTAAATATATATTAAACAATTGTTATAATATTATTATATAATCTTATAGAATAGAATTAAGAATCTTAATAGAATTGGGAAACTAGAATGGATTATATTAAATATTATTAAGTATATTAAACAATTATTATATACATATATATATATTAAATATATTAAATAATTATTATAATATTATTATATATTAATTCTGTAACTCACATACGAGTGACGCTGCAGTCAAAATGTTAATACCATTTTTCACCGTTTCAAATCACAATTGCTCTTCGCTTCCCCCACTTTCCACGAATCGTCCAATAATTTCGCATTGCAATTCCAACGACCGAAGCGTCTCGTGCAATCAACTTCGCATTAACGCACTCCGAAATGACGTAAGAAGACAACGCGAAGTTCAAGTAACATTGACTCGACTGCAAACTGTATATTCGCGGGAAGTTCGAGGTCTCGTTGAAAATCTTAGCAGAGGATTTGTCGAACGGAGAGAAGCAAATACCAAACTGCTGCGAGTATACCCAAAAAACAAATCGAACGTGGCAAGTAAATCTGCTGGAACGGTTCACCGGCGTGCAGGCCGAATAAATTGAATAGCCCGAATGATTGTAATGGATTGAGTAGATTAAGCAGATAGTACAAACAAATCGAATAAAGTGGGTCGTCCAGAGTGCTTGATATCCCTCTCGTGTCGAATACCTCAATGGGGACGATAAGAAATTCGTATCACGTTTAAACAATGTACGGTTGCTCCAATTGAAATCATTGATATCATCGTTTGTTCTGCGGTCGGTGATTGCTCAAATATTGTGACAAGTTCATTGCTTTCGATCGTAATTCGTGACTTTAACTGTTTTCGCAGATTGCTGCGTTGAATCGAAGACGAGGGCGACCAGATTTAATGAATCCAGAGTTTTCTAAATAATATTCAACGTAGTAGGATGATTACATATATTAATATGTTATTTATTAATATATGTAATATATTGTGCACATATTATGCATGTAATATGCATGTATTATATATCCTGTCTATATATTAATAGACAGGAGTATAGACATGTATATTTATATTGATTATATATTTATATATTTATTATATTAATATATTTAATATATTTTTATATTTTTATATTTATATTTATAAATCTGGGAAACGGAAAACACGACACTGGTGCACTTACAAAACAGCAAAAACTTTGGAACATCCTGTTTCACTTCTCCCATAATTCCTCGCAGTCTAACGATTGCTAAACGAAACAGCGTTTTGTTTATCCGCCAAGCTAATTAAAAACTGGCGATCTAATGGAAGATACCGCGTGTATAAAGATAACGTGCTACCATGTTGGAACGATGAACGAGGCGAAGAAAATGAATACGAGATAGTCGCCGTTAAACTGGCGCAACGTTCGCCTCGAAGATATACGAGTCATATTTTGATCACTGCTTAAGAAGATCCCCGCGAGGTTCGCGCAAAAATATACCACACTGCGAATTCCGGCGCGTGCTCTTTCCTTCGAGAAAACAGTTTCACCTTTCTTCGAGTAGACTTTACGAAGTAGCATCCGCTAGGAATATGATTATACGATCCATAAACGGAGACGACGGAGGTAGTGTGTGTGTGAAATATCTTAGAAAACATGAACAATGTAGATGCATTATCAGGCGCATTTGCTGACGCATTTGCTGAAATAATAGAAGGTCTACGCGGTTGCATTATCTTTACGGCTTCGGGGTTAACAGTAGTCCGTATCGTGCGTGTACCTTATATTATAATTATATGTTATAATATATTATATATCATTTATCGTATATTGTAATATATTATGTATCGTACATCATACATTATAATATATTATATATCGTACATTATACATTATATATTATATTTTAGTGTGAAATGCGTGTCTGGACATCATTAATTCGTCTAAATGAATCTTGGATACAATTGCGAAAGAAATCATAACTCAAAATGGTCAACTGATCGAACGAATCTCTGAACGCATAATAAAACTGACGAGGAACCAAAATAAATTCGCTCCCGTCGTTCTCCCAAAGCAACCCAAATCGGTAACATTATCACATTGCTCGATAGAATTAACGAGCAAACCCGATGAAACCGCGCGAGTGTACGTTGCCAAGACGATAGAGAAAACGCTGGGAACCGCGACATCATCCCCCGCATCGATAATTCGCTTTATCGAACGGTCGAACGAACCCCGAAAGAACCCCGCAAACATTTTCGAAACCTCGCACCGAAGCTGGATGCCCGCGCCGCGACATTAGACCGCGTCGAACGAAAACGTGGTATCATTAGCCTGGTCTCTCTGTTTCCAGGTCAGCGGCGAGTGGTGTCCCGGCTGGGAACCATGTAGAGCCGGGAGCGGTCCTCGGAGGGTCTGTGAAGCTCGCATTGTTCGGCGATCGGTCGTCGGATCGACGACGGCGCCGTTCGTCGACGGCGGTCCTCCGTCCGGGCGATCGCTTGTTACCGGGAAGCGGCGCTGGCAAGCGTCCCGTCCGCAGCGGGGAGAGACTTGGCAAGTGGCAACGGCCTTTACGACCGGCGAGAAGATGAAGGCCAGCCTGGTACGTCGGCTCGTCGGCACGTCCGTGACCTAAGGCCGGCGGTCGGGTCTCTTCCGGCCGAAGAGGAGCAGGAGAACAAGGCCAAGGGCAACGGGGTAGAAACTGGTCGGCTTAGCATGACGACGATCGCGAGCACCTCCGAGCCAACGGAGGTGTCCTCGGTGGACGTGACGACCCTGCTGACCGCGATCTCGACCGAGGAGAGCCAGTTCGGGAACGGCAGCTACGCGAACGACCAGAAGTGGTCCGTCCCGACGACGATCGCGAAGGGCTGCCTGCTGGGCTCGATCATCCTGACCGCGATGTTCGGCAACCTTCTGGTGATGGTGTCGGTGATGCGGCACAGGAAGCTGCGCATCATCACCAACTACTTCGTGGTCTCGCTGGCCCTGGCCGACATGCTGGTGGCGATGTTCGCGATGACGTTCAACGCGAGCGTCCAGCTGACCGGCCGTTGGCTGTTCGGCTACTTCATGTGCGACGTCTGGAACTCGCTGGACGTCTACTTCAGCACCAGCTCGATCCTCCATCTGATGTGCATCTCGGTGGACCGTTACTGGGCGATCGTGAAGCCCCTGAAGTACCCGATCATCATGACCAAGAGACTGGCCGCGTACATGCTGCTCGCCTGCTGGATCATGCCGGCGTTCATCTCGTTCGTCCCGATCTTCATGGGCTGGTACACCACCGACGAGAACAGCATGCACAGGCGCAAACACCCCGAGCTCTGCGAGTTCAAGGTGAACAAGATCTACGTGATATTCTCGTCGAGCATCTCCTTCTGGATACCGTGCACGATCATGACGCTCACGTACTTCGCGATATTCAAGGAGGCCAACAAACAGGAGAAGCAGATGCACAGCCGCATGGGGAACGTGATGCTGCTCAGCCACAGGCCCAGCAAGGACCTGAACAATCTGAACGGCGAGCTGAACAGCGCCGGTTCGTCGAAGACGCTCACCCTCAACGAGATCAGCACCGATCACCTCCACACGCCCACCAAGGACAAGAACATCATGAAGATGAAGAGGGAGCACAAGGCGGCCAGAACGTTAGGCATCATCATGGGGACCTTCATACTGTGCTGGTTGCCGTTCTTCTTGTGGTGCGTCTGATACATTCGGACCGTTCTTTTCCGATCCGTTCCGTTCCGTGATGTTCCGTGCTCTGTTCCGTGCCGTTCCGTGCCGTGCCGCGACGTGTCGGGTTTCCTCCGGTTGAACGCGGAATTGCGAATTTCCATAAGGCCGTTCGTTCAGCGCCGCGTGGAAATTGAGAAGGACTGTGTGCCGCGCGTGTGTGCATCTTGCTCGCGTAACGATCCCAATTGTTCTCGTTAGTTTCAAACGCAATTAGGCAAATACGTCGACGGGGGATACGCGGCTGTGCGGATTAGTGGGCGATCGCTGGCGACGCTCGCCGAAGATCTCAAAGGAATTCGGCTGTTCTGGACTAGCCTCGCCGATTCTGTTTGGCCACGCGGAGTTGCGGGGGGGGGGGGGTGGCTTTGAAACACCTCTTCGGGGTGCAGCTTATTCTATTTCAGATTCGTGGCCTTTGCAACGAGTGCGCAGATTCCATTGTGATCGGTTGCATCGTGCAGATCTGCGCGAAATGCTCTTGTTTCTTTTTCGTCCGAATTACTCGACGAAACGTTCTACAATTTGCTTCTTCGATTTGGTAAACGCATCTACAAATTGTGAGTGCAATTTCGAGTCGCATCTTGTTAAGGATCGCGTTGATTCGATTGATTTTGAAGTCGAAGGGGAAGATCGTATCGAAAGATTTTCTAGCATAATTTAGTGCACTACTTTCTCTCTAATTCGCACTCGGAGTGCGCGCAAAAGTGGACAATTTGGGAGAAGGAGATCCGATTGTTCGATAATTATAAAATAACGAAAAAATAATCGTATCTCCTTCTCCCAAATTGTCCATCGAGCGCGAATCAGGCAGAAATTACCGCACATAACGCAGGCAATTTGTATCTTGCACGAAAGAAGAAAAGATACCGTCCGGTTCTAAAATCGACGAAGACTATGAAAAATATTAGAACACCACGTTTATCGATTTCTCATCTAATTCCGCGCGTCTCCGGCTTCCGGCTGGACGAGGAGAACAAATCGCATGGACGGTTTATCGTTTGAAACGGTTGAATTTGACCGAAGTTTGTCTTCAGGTACGTGATCACGACCCTCTGCGGCGAGTCCTGTCCGTGTCCCGACATCGTGATCGCGCTTCTCTTCTGGATCGGATACACGAACTCGGCGTTAAACCCGCTGATCTACGCGTACTTCAACCGTGACTTCCGAGAAGCCTTCAAGAACACGCTGCAGTGTGCTTTCTGTTCGCTCTGCAGACGAGAGCCGTCCGACCTCGAGGCGCTCGATTTCCGTCGACCGTCCCTAAGGTACGATCTGGTCTGACACATTGAGGTACGCACTACATTCTATCGCTTTTCTCGTACCCTCTTTTTTCGCCCTATCCGTGCCCCCTCATTTCCGACGCCATTGTCTCGGAGAGCCTCGACGAGTTTTCTTCGACCAACGGAGCCTTTTAGGGCGCTCCGGCGACGCTTTCGAAAGGACGCCGGCTGGCTGCTGCGCTGTTCGCGAACACCCAGGCTTTATAGCTAGAATAATAATAGTATATCGACGATTTATCCGTCGATGATTTTACTCGTTGACGGAGCTTCCTTTTAGTTGAATTTTATAGAATTAAATAGGAGACTGTGTCGCGCGTAGAATTTTACAGCATTGCGTAAGATATTGTAGAGTACAGCATTTGACAGGATTACAGTGATTTCTCCCGGAAATGCCGAATTCTGGGTTGCTGAGAATTTCACTCCTACGTCCTACGTCTATGTAATTTATTGCTACGTCGCTGCTGCTCGCGAACCAGGCTTTATAATTGGATGTATATAATATATCGACGATTTATCCGTCGATGATTTTACTCGTTGACAGAGCTTTCTTTTAGTTGAATTTTATAGAATTAAATAGGTCGCAAAGCGATATCTCCGTTATTTATAATGACACGCGGAAATGTTTAAGGAAATGTTTCATTCTCAGGAATCACGCGTTCCTCTTTGTTCGATAATTTTTTAGACACCCTGTAGAGCATGGAAAGACATCTCCGGCAGGCCGTAAACGTTTGTTTCTCTTCCAATTCGTAATAGAACAACAAACGATCTAGATTCGCCAAGTTCGCGCGTGCGACGCGGAAAGTCGTTCGAGAAAATGAGTCGCGTTTCCACGCATGATTTAATTAATGTGCCCCGATGTGCGAGTCGCTTTCCATTTGATAACTGGCGCGGCTCGCGTGCGACGTTGCACCTCGCTCTGCAGAATTGCACGTTACATGCTGCGGGAAATGCACAAAGCTCGCGCAGAAACACGCATTGGCGACGGGAACAGCGAATCGCGAGTGCACAAAAGTTGCAGAATAGAATCGGAACGAACGGAGTAATTGAAGCACGACGCGATAATTCAATTATATCTAGTTAAATAATATAATATAATATAATATTCAATAGTAATTTAATTATATCTAGTTAAATAATATAATATAATATTCGATTATAATATTATATTATACTGTAACAGTGGAACTTAATCCTGTAACAATTTAACTTAATTTTTATGTCGAATTCACGCATTTGAAACGCTCCCATTAAGCTGCTTCGAAACCTTGTAAAATATATGATTTATCGTCGCAAACGAATGTTAACGAGCTTCGTGCATAATACAATGAACACGGAGGAATTTCACGTGTATATTAACGCAATGATTAATGTGCCGGAACATACAGGGTGCCCTTGCTATAAGTTTTTCGTTACGAAAGAACGCCTCGATTCTCGCGCACACCTGCACAACGGTGAAGAAAAATCGTGCAGTACGAACTTGGACTGTTCTTACATTCAACGGTCCATCATCAATCTTCCCGCAGGATGTTTTCGCATGATGCGCTGGACGGTAAATTGCGGAACCTTCTCTGTGTCGAAAATACCGCGAATTGCGATGTCCGTTCAGCGAACGGAAAATTTGTTTAGCAATCCGGACTGCGTACAGTTTGGGAACGCCGGTGAAAAACTTGTGCGGCCGCTGGAGGGATCGCCGTAAAACCGAGTGATTAGAAGCGGGGGAGGACATCGCTTTTAATTCCGCGGGTTGAAAGTAGGGCGAGCCGGGCGCTAAACTTTTTCGCGCGAATGCGAGCATAACTCAGGAAACGCGTGCTCCTTTTCTGCGCTCGAAAACGCGACGCCGCGGAGAAAAGGCATGTAAAGCGTGTACAAAGCGTATAAGTATACAAAGTTAAAGTACATAAGTATCAAAGTTAAAATATCCAAAGAATATATAAACAACCGAGGTACATAAATAATGGAAATCGTGGGTTTCTTTCGCTCCGAGAGGCCCGATCGCGAGACTACCTCTTTCCCCATGAAATTCTAATGGTTTCCCGACGAACCCGCGATTCATCGTCGCGCAAAGAAACACCGTCGCGAGCTTTCCTCGCGAACTTATTTTTCTCCACGGCCGGCGACACCTTGATCATTACCTTTTGTAGGATCAAAGAGACTGGAACTTCGTAACTTCGATTATTAGAGACGCTTGGTCTTTGACGGGGCCCGATAGCGAATTTCATGAGCGTTTGCTGCTGCTGCGCTTCGACACTGCGAAGATCGAACGTGCTGTTTCCATTTATTTAGTCGCTCGGCAGTGTTGAGATAGTTCGTCGCGTTTGTTTCCCCGAGGAAAGAAATGTTTGATCTTCGGAACGGAGAACGCGCGAAATTGTTTCCAATATAAAGTGTCTCGTTGGTCGAACGTTACTGTAAAAATGGGTCCGGCGAGGTAAGCAAACGTTTTTTTACCGGTTCGGTATCGATTTAACCCCGCGTTCGAGGAGCCATGATTTCGCCAGCGCCGGGAATTCGGGCGCAGCGTTTTTTCGCATGTATTTTCGGTGCTGTTGTTTTTAACCCTTTCATGGACGTAATATGAATTTTCGAAGCAATTGGGACGTTCGTTTAGCATAATTTTATCATATAACGATGCAGATGTTATTCGCTTTTTTCTGTTATCTTTCATTTTTCATCCCTTGCAATGTGGGGTGTTTTGTACTATAAAATTATTGTACTATAACTGTATTTATTCGAGCCTAATTTCTATGCGCGCGCTAAAAGCGCGAGGCTTAGTTCCCAGTGCCTGTGAAAGGGTTAAGAAAATGCGACAGAGAATCGATTTTTTGCAAACGTTTACGCCGGAGAACCTCTTGAATTTAATCGAGCAAACGTTCAAACCCGGTTTCAGTTTCTCTGTGTCCTCGCCAGCGATTTCGCCAGTAAACTCGCGATGAAACGAAACGAAACGAAGGAAACGCTATTAAATTTCCCATTTTACAGGCCACCGAAACGTTTGCGAACTGAAAATGCACAAAGATCCGCAGTTTACTCGAAAACCGTGCCGGGGAACTTTACGCGAGCTCGTGTTTCGCAGAAATTACAAGATTAGCAAAAACGTGCGCGCAAATTAAAAAAATTTGCTCGTGTTGCAAAGAAATAAACATTCGCAGTTATATACCGAATTAGATTGTGTGGAACTTTACGCATACTGTTCTCGTATAGAAATTCACAGTTCGTTCGATGCTGGACCGTGGAAATTGTATGCGAACTTACTCACTTCGAAGAAACCGTCGTCGGGATAACAATCGAGACAGATTTTAATTCCTCTTTTATTCTTTTTGACGAAAGAAACAAACGAAGCCGAACGAAATTTTATCCAATTTTACAAATCCCTTTTACAATCGCTTCCTGCTGTGTGAATTTAAATTTTAGTCTGCTGACTGGGACGTATACTTTGTTGTTGGCGTTAGTAATTGTTCGCTGTCTGCTTAATTCAGCCACTAATTTATCATTTTACTGCAACATATAGTATCCATATTAGTTTAAACTATACTATATATTATGTAATATATTGTATTATAACTTTGTACGATATTATACTTTATTTATTATATTTATTTTATATATTAATTTATATATTATACTTTTTGTTTTATTATATTATACTATATTACATAAATTACATTATAACAAAATCGTAATTGCGAAACTTTAACCCTTTTATTAAATGTCTTGATTTCTGCCGATGAATTTTTACTTCCCTTTGTATCTTCATCTAATTGTTATAGAATACATTTTAATCGTTCATAGAATAAGCTTGAAAACATTGTATCGTAGCGCAGTTCTCAAATGTATGCACCTATTCCTTTAGTGGAATCTCTGACACCATAAGTTCTCTACCAACCCCCTCTGAGGGTTGTTGATTAAATCATTTCATATACGTGACGTCTTTGCAACATGCAAAATCGCCCAATCGGCAGATCGAAATTTACAAAAATCGTTGTACGCTATAAATGTCTACCTTGTACAGTAAATTCTCCCTAATTGACGCTCAGCTTGTACAATAATTTCTCCCTAATTCGCGCTCAGATTTCGCACAAAACTGGACAATTCCGGAAGACTAGATACGATTGTTCAAAGCTTCTACCTTGTTTTTATAATCACCGATTGTGAACAACTATAAAAACGAAACGCAAGGCTCGAATATGAGCTCAATCAATGCGCGAATTAGAGAGAAACTACTGTACACGAAAATGGACGAGTCGGGAAGAGGTGACACGATTTTAGCTGATATTATTAATATTACTATTAGGTGATATTATTTTAAATCTTCTAGATTACCGATTGTCAGCAACTACGAAAACCAGCCGCAATAATAATCGTGTCTACTTTTCTCGAATCGTCCATTTTCGTCTCCAAGGCGAGCGTCAATCAGGGAGAAATTTACAGTACCGCTAACGAGCCGCGAAACCGAGCAAACTGTATTGGCGGCGATCTCTTTTTCTGCTTGCAGGTACGACGACCGCACTAAGAGTATATACTCGGAGACGTACGTCAAGCACACCGACCGACGAAGATCGAGCGAGTATGGTAGCAGTCTCTGAGATGAGACGGGAGAGCAACTTTATACGTTAAACTGTATTCGCAATAAGATACGCGTAACACGTGCATACGCCCACCAATACATCCGTACCGTCATCCACATGAACTCGCACACGGAATACGCGCGAGCGCGCGTCCCATACACACGTACACGCGCACACAACACCCAAACCAACGATGTGTCGAGTGAACAACCACGTTGAACGCGTAGACTCGCGACCATAGAGATTCTCCGTTACGTTGCCAAACCAAAAAGACAAGAAACACATACATGCATACGTACGTACGTACATGCATACACGCACAGGCGCGCGATAAAAAGCGAAAGGAGGAAAACATGAATCTGAACAGGTACTCGCATCCTCGACAATTTCGAACCGGTCCCGTGTATTTTCGGTTTCGAGAGGCCCAACGGTGGCCGTCCTCGAGCTGCGCGAAGCCCTCTGTTCGTGTACGGCCATTTTTACAGAAGCAAAAATATATATATACATATATACGTTCCTAGAAAAGAAACTCGCAACGATTGCGAGGTCGTTGATGATTTTGCGCCGATGCTTCCACGATTGCGAATGCAGTAATTTTTCCGTAATTCGCGCTCGGATTGCGCAGAAAAATTGACGATTTTGAGAGAGGTGATACGATTATTCGAGCCTTGCGTCTCGTTTTGATGATTGTTGATAATCGGCAAGCGTAAAAACGCGAGCCGCGAGGCTCGAATAATCGCATATTCTCTTCCGAAATTGTCCGTTTTTGTGCGCAATCTGAGCGCGAATTGATGAGACATTAATTACTGTACCGATGGGGCTCGATTTCTCAACGGTCATCGTGTGACATTTATATTGTTTCGTTCGTTGAAATCGAAGCTGGAATGTCGAGAGCAGACCGCAGACGCTGCGATCAAAATTTCGTCGGATTTGTAAAATTTGATCCTGCTGTGTTCGAGATTATTATACTGTGCAAAATGAACAAGCTAAGACAAAACGTGAGCCTAAAATTCAATGGAAATAATGCGAGAAAGCGAAAGTGCACGGTTCGCGTGAAACTGCAACGGAACTGTGATATAAAATTGATGCAGAATTGATGCAAAATTATGCAAACGATGCAACAGAAAGGACAAAAGTATCCAGCCAATGGACAATTGAAGAGAAACAGTGCGACCAACGGAAAAAGAGTGCAACAACGAACGAGTCAACATAGAATTAACGCTAGAACATTACAAAAATATTTCCAGGAGAAATTTCGATACACTTGCCCGTTGAAGTATATTATCATAAAATAAACCGTGCGAGGTTTAAATAAATCCACTCTCGGCATTGTTATAAAACAATATACATCATCCACGTCCAGAGCTCGGGGCAGTTCCAGCGTTAAACGGAAACTCTGGAACGTATATAAAGATACAGAAAAAAAAACAAAGCAAAACCGCGTTCCTTGTGCACAAAGAAACTAGAATACGGCGCGGATCGTCTTGCAAAATTGCATCTCGGCACCCTCGTTCGCGTATTTAGCAGTGTCTGGCGGTTCTGCGTCAAAGCCAGTCGCGGCTGGCTCGCCTCCAATCGGCTGATTAAAAATTAAATCGAGGAGGACGAGAGTCGGAGGGCGGGAACGCGCGTTTATTGTCGCGTCTTATAAATAGCGGATCTCGGACAAAAGACAGTTCGGGAAAACCGGAAGTACACGGGGCCAGGGAGGACAGGAACATTGCCAAACGATCGTAGATAGAGGCACGCCGGACAGGTAGCCGCGTGCACGCGTTCGGCGCATGGACCGCGCCGCTATTGTCGGAGAGATAACGGCAGTAAATTCTCCCTAATTAGCGTTCGGATTGCGCGGAAAAAGGATATAATTCGAGAAGAGGAAGCCTCGCGGCTCGTTTTCCACCGATCGTCGATAACTATGATAAACGAGTCGCGAGGCTCGAACGATCGCGTCTCCGCTTCCCAAACTGTCGATTTCCGTGCGCGATCCGAGCTCGAATTAGGGAGAAAAAAAATTGCTGCAAATTCTCCCCAGTTTTTCTAGGAGCTCGTGAACAAAAATCGACAATTTGGAAAGTGTAGACACGATTATCCGAGCCTCGCGTCTCGTTTTTCCGAGCGTTGAATAATCGACAGCCGTAAAAACGCGAGCCGCTCGAACGATCGCGTCTGCTCTGCCCAAATTAGGGAGAAATTGCTGCGTCGTCGAGCGACGCTTCGAATGATCGGGGCAGGGATCGACGGATCGAGGATCCGAGACCGTCTCGATCTCGACGGTTGTCCCGTGGGAACGGCGGGACGACGAGCGTCTCGTCGAGCCTCGATCTCGTTCTCGCGAAGCTAGCTGCCGTTTGACCGAGAAGACGCCGAGGATGATGATGTCCGATTGGGTGGCCAGGTTCATTAGCTCTCGAGTCCCACTCGGCTCGGTCTCGTTCTGCTTGCTGCTGCTCCCCAACGCAAACAAACCGGAAGGCGGATATCGCGAGGATCGTATAAACGGCCGCGTTTGATTGGCAGCTCTCCCGGGGCCGGAGTGGCGGGCTCCGAGTCACCGCGGGCAATAAATAAACAGCCGAAGGCGGTCGGCTTCTGGTATCTGTTATTGGCTCCACGGTGAACCCCTTAAACTGCGGAACGTTTGGATAAGAGATCAACCACCGTGTACGAATCGCGGATTCTCCCGGCGCGCGCTGATGGACCCGTTTCGTTCCCCGATCCCCCGCCCACCGCCAGGGAAATCGCTTTTTTTCCGGGACCATCCGCCTATCCTAACGTTGCCGGCTAGATCGACGGGGTGTCCGACGAACGCGAACTCGAAACGCGGATCGTACGAACCGTTTCTCCGTTTCGCAGCTCGTCGAACATTTCTCGAGCCGGCGGAACAATTTTTCTCATTGTTTTACTTTGAATCGCTTCTGGAATAATTATGGCACACCCTGTATAACTTATTTCGCTCGATATACAGGGTGTTCCATAATTATTCCCAAAGCCATTCAGAGTATAACTTCGTTCGCTTGATATACTTGTACGACGCGGGAATAATTGATGCGAATATCGTCGTTTCTTCGTCCCTTATTTGTCTTCGATTTTCATGCAAACGGTACCAGCTTCTTGCTGAGTCGAAAATGGCGGTCGAAAATTGCATCTTCGGGTGCTTTTTGTAGCCTCTTCTGTCGAATGAACGGAGAACAGAGAATCCGAGATTCGTGCGCGCTGTTTCCCCTATCGAACGTGACAGGAGAATCGTTGTTACCGCTGTTTCTCATTGATGTTATTTATTATTATCGATGGAAAAAAAATACTCCGCGCGACACGTTACATGACAATTATACCCGTTTTATTCGCGACGCTGTTGCGTTATTATCGAATCCCCGCGTTCAAGCGGACGCGGCATACCAAAGAGATTGCGTGCCAGATCGTTATTGTTACCGTTGTTGTTTAATTAATATTATTTATCGCCGGCGGAACGGTTGTCGAACGGTCGTCCGGACAATTATATCCGTCGGTTTTAGATGTGAACGGTCGCGTCGGTTCGACGGATGGGATCGCAACGACACGCGGAACGTTTTATTCTCGTCGGATTTCTTTCCTTCGAATTCCGTGGCCGCGGCAAACGTTCGCGATTCGCAAACTGGGAACGGAACACCTCGGAATCTTCGTTGATTCTCGTTTGAAAAAAAACGTGTCCGTCCCACGGATCGCACAGAGATGTTGCTGCTTCGTTTCTACGAATTTTATCGCGAAGATTCTCGTCACGGAAAAAGATGATACTTAAATTATTTATTTATTTCTTTCTCGGTGGAGCGAATTCGATGCTCGGTCGATACGAAGGTATTTTTATGTTCAAACAGCACGATAAGCTTTTGTTCTCATTGTTATGCGTAACGGTATCGACGGAAATTTATCATTTATTGGATATTTATTATTTATGTATTTATCGAAACGCGAGCTCTAGGCGCACGAGATTTTGGTTCGATATTTTCGATTTAATCGCGTAGCTTTAATCATTGGAAACGCGTGCTCCACACACACATACACACACGCACACACATACACATGTACACTGTGCGACAAAGAAATTCCCATCGGTTGCTGCATCGTTGAAAATTTGAGTTCGCGAGGGCAAAGTGTAAATATTCTTTTCGTCGGAACTCTTTCGACCGAATTTATCATTTCATTGTCAAATCTCGGCGGAATCACGCTTCTCGTTAGATCGCAATCTAGAGACCTCGTGCCCCGATCGGTACCCTAATTTCTGTTCCAATGGACACCGAGACGCGCCGATTTTCCAATTAATTTGCCGCTGCACGATCAAAAGCTAATTTAACGCCGATGCGTGTTAAAATCGAACGCGTCGTTTTCCCGAACGCGAATGCAATGAACTTTCTCTCGTTGATCGTCGAAACGAGATCGATTTTAATCCACGCTCTTCGAACGAACGATAATCAACGTGTGCTCGCGTCGGAAAAAATCACTGTCGTCGAGTAAAAAGATGTTATTTTTCTTTTTTTTTGTTCTGTGCGTGAAACCGTAGACAGTTCGAGAAAGTCGATCGAACGGCCCACTTGATCGTAATTTAATTTATTCGAACGTATACTTTAGTCGTTAATTAACTGTAATTCGCCACGCGAAGAGTCTATTGTTCGTATATATACATATATATATTTTATACCTCTAACCGTGTAATCGTCGTCCGTTGAGTTCGTTTTTACCAAGTCTGAGAATCTTATTTATGACGCCGTTGGTTTTTTTTGTTTTCCTTTTACGTTACTTTGTTTCGGTTTTCTTTCTTTCTTCTTTTCTTTTTGTTTCTTTTTTTTATATACATATATAATACGTATATCTCTACATATATGCGATTCACCGTTTCTCTGTGATAGAATGTATTAAAGTAACAAGACAAAAACAAAAAAGAAAAGAAAACAAGAATTATCCACGATAACGTTGTACATAGTTTGTATATAATGTCGCTCCACGGGGGCGTTCAGTTGCAATAATTGAAAGTTAATACAGCGTTTCTTCCGTGATCGACCTATTAGCTTGTAAAAGATGGAGAAAAGAAGCGGTGAGAAAGAGAGAAAGTGAGAGAGAGAGAGAGAGAGAGAAAAAGAGAGAAAGAGAGAAAGAGAAAGCAAGGGAGAAGAGAAGGCAACACGTGGGGAAGAAATGTTCGGTCGGCGTATTAACAATCAAAATGCGTGCCGAGCGTAGTGTAAAAATAAGCGAGAAATGACAATGCGTGGAAACGAACGTTGTACAGCGACGTTTCGATGATTCGGTGCGTGATCTGTGTAACGCGGTGTCTCGCCGTTGCAAACGAAGCCGTTTGCACTCTCTCGTTACGTACGCATGTCGTTGTCGAAACACGAATACCTTTTTTTCTGTTCCGAATGTACGAATTCTGTCGCCATTTTCCTTTGGAATAGCCAAACGCAGGAACGTGTTGGCGAGGTGAATGCGAAATCTCACGGAATACCGCTGGTGTGTCCGGCATCCTGAAACTGAGCGGAACAGCGAAAACCTGGGCCTTCAATCAATTCGTCCCCTCCTTCTGACTTTGATTACAGCTCTCTGTCCCCGCTCTGTAATCGCGTTTCATATACACTGTGTTACTACGTGCACAGGGTGTCCAAAAATTATTGTACAACCGGGATTCTGGGATCCGAGTGTTCC